CCTGTATAAAATTTACGATATGGGAAGCGAGGTGGAGGGAGGAAGCAGCATCTAGAATCACCGTGAACTTCGTTCTGAAAATACATGGGACACTTCAGTGTAAAAGTGATGAGACAAAGGCCAAGAAGATATAGTTCAGAGGAGTAACAGGTAGGCCACATGTATTCCACCTAAAAACGAGAATCACAATCTCCACTTCCAAGGGCAATCACGGATGAACCTTTCAGCCCTAGCCTCTGCTTCTAGCGGACATATTTTGCGTGTGTACCTTTGGGCCTGAACTAAGTCTCCTCCTTCTGTTTTCCAGCTTTCGTTCGGGAGACGTGCCTGTTTCTGCTCTTGCCCTGAGCTCGCAGTATTTAACTCCCCATGACCAGTAGGGGGCCGCTGCCATTAAGTGGCCTCTCTGAACACGACCGACTGGCCACCTTCAGTGCGCTGTGTCCACTTGGTCGGGTACTGCCCCGAGGGCTGAAGCAAGGCTTTCTAGGAACATGCATCTAACTTTAGTGCCAGAGAAAGTCCGTGCACTAGCAGCAGGGAGACAGTTCTCCAAGTGAATGAAGATTTAATGTCTAAATTAGCATCTGCCTGAAATTACCTACGAGAATTAGATTATTCTGGAAGAACAGTGTCCTCATTTCTTAATGTCTTCTCTACTAATACTACTACTAATATTAAAGAAACCTTGGAAACTGTCACTATTCCAACCAGTCAGTGAGAGTAACAGATTATGCTGGGAAGGAAAAAGGAATATATTGATCCAGGTTTAGGGTCAACCTTTTACAGACAGAAGGAAAGCTAAAAGTATTTGACAGGCCCAGGAAATCCCTGATTCTTTACCAAGCTGCATGAGTGTGCATGCTCTTCTTTCAAGAAACCATCTTACGGGACACTAAACGGGGGTTCCTGTGAAGAATCTCTAACAAGCTATTCCCAAACATGCATTTTTGGCGGGGAGACATCAACTAGTCCCAAATCTTTTATGATGATTTAGTATGTCCAGCTGCCTAAGGCATCCCAAGGTTTGCTGACTGAATGAATCGACGCACAACCGGAAACAGCTCTGATAGGTGCTGAGACTAAGTGCAGGAGGGGAGAGGACACTGTTGCAGAACAGAGGGCAAGCTACCTTCCACCCTGAAGTTTCAGCTTTTCACAAAGTATTTGCTGCAGCAGGAACACAGTAAAGCTGGATAAATGGATTCCATGACTATAAGTTAACAGAAACCAGGCGCTATGCTAGCAGAGAGAGAAGGAAATTGGAAGCAATGACCTGTCCAAGTCGTGAGATGAACACTCTCTTGACACGAGTAGGAGTGTGCAAGAGAAACCCTCTGGGCAGTAATACAGCCACACTTAGCAAGAACCTTAGACTGTTTTTCATCTTAAATAATCTTAAAAGTTCCTGTCCACTAGTCCCACTTTCAGGAATGTAATCTAAGACAATAAATTTATGATTTAAAAGATTTATGTACAAGGATGTTCAATACGTTCATTATATTTTTTAAAACAATGGAAATAACCCAAATATTCAATAGGGAATTACAAAAATAAATTATTCCATCTACTTGGTAGGATATTATGTAGTTAAGATTTTAAAGTTACATTCTCAATGGATATTAATGACATACTATGATCTCAAATTTTGTAAAAAAAAATATGCAGCAGGAAAAAAAGATTGAAAAGCAACATTCAAATGTAAATAGGGATACATGTGGCAATAGAATTGTGATTTTATTTGCTTCTTTATTCTTTCCTGTGTTTTCTAAAATTTCTGCAATGAGTACATATTTTTAGAATCAATTTTTTTTTAGGGGCGCCTGGGTGGCTCAGTTGCTAAGCGTCTGCCTTCGGCTCAGGTCATGATCCCGGGTCCTGGGATTGAGCCCCACGTTGGGCTCCCTGCTCCGTGGGAAGCCTGCTTCTCCCTCTCCCACTGCCCCTGCTTGTGTTCCCTCTCTCGCTGTGTCTCTCTGTCAAATAAATAAAATCTTTAAAAAAAAGAATTTTTTTTTAAAGGGAAACAACCCTTCACTGTAATGGGTTTTCAACTGCTCTATGTATACAAAGGAAAGAGTGTGTGGTCACTTACCTGCCTTGTGTTCCACACTTGATTTCCAGTAGCTGAGATGCACATCTCAGGGATGCATGTATGTATACTAACTTATCCGTCATAAAATCTCACCAGACATGTGACTTCTGATACACAATACAGTCCGAGTAGAGTATCACAAAACACATCACTAAAGTATACTAAAATAAGGTTATTTACTTAAAAATGATACATTGGATGTAATCTATATATAGAACAAAGCAATTAATGGTAAACTTAATAAGGCACCTTTTAAACCAGATGCTGTACAAAATACATTTAGTGTGTTACATATCAAAGATGAATCTATATTTTTGGTGTTTTACAATTGCATAATAAAATTGTTTTTAACCCTTCTTTCAATGTCTATGTACAACTTCCCTAATTAAGCTATAATGATATTTTCATTTTATACAACATATACTACATTTTAGTTTTTAAATGGGCAAGGACAATGGTCACTAAAAGGGCTTAAATAATTCCACTGAAAGCATAGTACAGAGCACGAGCTAAAATTACAATAATATATTTAATCCTTTGCAAAAGCAGTATTCACATACTTTCCTTATGGGATGATCATTACATGTGGCTTTGTATGCTGCTGCCCGAGATTTAATTCAGTTTTTATGAACATGTCAGTTCTCTGCAGTTTTCACTGTGACTCTCATAAATAGCACTAAGGCAAGAGGATGCACTGCTACCCTATTTTAACACCTGAGCGAAGCAAATAATAAATACTACCCTTTAAACAGTACAAGAGCTACAACAATCTTTTTTCAAAAATCAATTAGTATTTCTGTTGAGATTATTTTAGATGTTTGCAACATTTCCAAACAACGTGTATGCAAAGAAACACAAGTGATTTAATTTATAAAATCTTGCCTGGAATAAATCATTCATTATCAAATTTGATCTTGGGCCAGTTTAAGAGATACAGGATTCTTTAAAAGTTGTGTTACATTTTTGTTCTAAACAGAAGAAAAGCATATGAAAGAAAAAGGTACTGAGTATTTTAGAGTGAATAAATAAAAAACCCGGCCTATTCTAGGAAAACATAATTTTCAAAAACTATAGGCCACTTTCTAAGTTTAGGGACACTTCCAGACATCGGAAATGCAACATAAAATGTTGACTGAAAGATCAATCTTCTGTGAAAACATTTCCAGAGAAATTAGATTCAAATTTTGTACTTCAGAAATTTGTTCAAAAGAAAGCACAGGGAAAGTTCAGAATGAATGCACTGAGGCGGATCCTGGTGTGCCTTTAATTCTGGAGGTATTTACCAGTATAAAGGGAATTCAGTAAAAGGAATTTTCTTTGAGGGCTAACTTCTGTTGTATTCAGGTAGCTTTGGGTTTTTGCTTGTTTTTATGTTTTATTTATTTAAAAGGATGACAGACAGAAGCCACACATTTTTAAAATTTTTAAACTTAAAATTTTTTTAATTTAAAATTTTAAAATTGTAAGTGGGGCCAAATAATGGCTTCTAGGGTTTTACAAATTATTAACTATAAGGTACGATGTAATACTTCCTCAGTCTTAAATATTTCACTTACTGGATGAACTGAGAAATTTAACAGCAAGAGTAAGGAGAAGAAAATAAGTTTCATGCATTTTTTTGGACTTTGGGATTTCAAAATGGCATCATTTGCTTTTTAAAGAACATGCTACCTTAGAAAATATTTCTATTGAACAAGTTGCTAAAGTTAATTCTTGATACTACTCTTATTAGATCTATTTAAAAAAATCAATATAGTGGTCTTGTACTTATATACTATCTGTAATTGTCTGCTTCCACCCACTATTTCAACATTTTTAAGAATAGAGTTTGCCTTTCTTTACATACGTTCTTTGTTAGTAAGATGACAAATAATGTTCAGGATTTATAGTTTAACCAATAAAAAATAAAGCAAGATTAACCTTAGATTAAAATCAGAGCTTAGAAGTGTTAAGTCACAAGGCAACATGGATTAGAATCTCTCTCAGTATAGGAAAGGACATTCTGAAAGAACATGTTATTGGGTATTATCAATATGCACATTTACTTATTTTCGTGAACACTTCAAATTTTAATTATGTTAGATGAAAATTACTAAACTTAGTCAAAACTATTACAGCAGATTCCAAATTTGTTAAGTTTGATGTATAAATACGTAAGAGTTTCATCCTTAAATGCCAGTCAGATTTTTGGTAATGGATGGATACATGCCCTGATTCCTCCCCTTTAAAGACTTTTAAATAAGTTGTGATGTAATCACATTTATTTTATGTTACAGTCAAAGAAAACTATTTCACTTTATGCACCCATGAGTTGTTTACTCAGGATAAGACAATATTTAAAAGGCATTGGAGAAGTATAAGTTTAAGTAAATCAGAATTATTCCTTGGGATAACAAGGCATCCATAAAATATGTAGCATTTTATTGAGTAACAGCTATATGGTATAGATACAGGTAATGAGTAGATACTGAACTTTTCTGCCTGACTCTTCATTGTCTTCACAAGTTATGGAACAGAAATCATAAAACCAAAAACCTCAAATGATTTAAATGCCCCAAACAGCTGTTGATAAGTTTATATCAGCTCTGAAACAGAAACTTCTAATTGGAGGATCCTTTCATAAAGAAAAATTGAGATGACAGCATCTTAATGAAAGTATATGCCTGGATAAAAGTCCTAGATTTGACACACTACTTTGAATGCATTAATTCTGACAATTTACAAGTAGTTCTATGTTAAATCATTTTTTTCTGATGATCTTTTAATTTTCTTCCCTTAAGAATGGGATATGAGGTACACATGAGAGCTGGTTTCTACAGTATGAATGTATGTACATATATAAAATACGGTTGTAAAGGAGGTGTTTTGCAAATAAAGCATATTACACACAAAATATAAATAACTTCCCTTTTAAAAGTTACTGAGAATAAAGAATATAGAACATGATTATAGGCACTTACATTGCTATCAAATGCAGTAATTAGTAATTCACTTCAATAAGAAGTGTTTTCTTTAGAAGGTTCATGGCATTGGAAGTTCCAACTTTGGATAAGATGCTTTTCATGACAAAAGTAAGAATTACCGAAAAGAAAGAAAGAGAAGGAAGGGGTGGGGGGAGAGGAAGGGGAGGGAGGAAGGAAGAAAAAGATGGTGATGAAAGGAAAATAGTCCAAATTTACAGACACTTTAAACTTCTTTTGGCCTTTATATCAACTTTTATGTTAAAAAATAAAGTTGGCAGAGAAGCTAGCTCACTTGCAAGGTAAATAAATGGTTTTTATGTGATTGGAGAATCTTGGTCAGATAATGCATTTTTAAAGCACAAAACCACCAGCCACCAGCATCTTCCTGTGCATTCATAAATCATTTTTTTCTAATTCAAATGGCAGCAGAGGAATCCTGGTGTGTGCATGTGTGTGTACACACACAGACCAATATCAAAGCCTGACAAACTATCAAGCTACTGTATCCCAAACAGATCATAATCCATACGCTGTTTACAAAGGTGGAATACAAATAGATTAATTTTCCTCAGGTAGAAGGCAAAAGTGTGTATTTCTCCATCTCTGCTGAATTCATTTATCTTCTTAAGGCTTTCACAGAAAGCACCATTTTATGAATAGGGAATTCAGTACCCAGAGTTTGACTGGAGACTTATTAATAATCAGGATTGAAGTCTTGATGCAGTTCATAAAAACCCAATAAAAAAAAAAGGCATCAAAAACCACATTTAAAATAAAGCTGTCCATATATAAAGAACAAAGTGTTTAGAAGTTCCCAGCTTGTTATTCTACAGAGTACTGAAAGGTTTAGTATTAGCAGCCTGTGAAGGTGTAGTGAGGAGAGAGTCTGAGAACCAAGTCAGCATCCGTATTCTACTCTAACTCCACCTGCTCCTTGGGTGAAAACAGTTCTTGCAGTCTAGAATTGCTCCTCATGACTGTTTTCACCGTCAAATCTTTACATCCTGGGATTCAACCATCTTGGCAAGTGTCTTCTTGATTCTCAGAGCTGTAAGTCTGGAGGCTGGATTGTGGGCCCAGCATTCTGACATGAGCTTCAGAACTGCTCGTAGACACTGAAAAGTAAAGAGAATATAGTGAGCACATAAAGATCTTTGACGACACTTACCAATCACCTCCTCAGGGGACGGAGCTCTACTTACTTCATCACTGTTCCATCGATTGGACACAATTGGCCGCAAACGCTTCACACACACAACTTCACGCATATCTTCGTATGACGGATCATTGGGCACCATATTGTAATATGGCAACTGGTACTCTTCTACTATCCCTGTGGGGAGTGAGAAAACACAGTGGGCACAAAAATGTCTGGACAAAATATATCAACCTATTCAGCACCTCTTACTGAACTATGGGAGATAAAATGGATTCCTACATAAAGAAGAGAATTATAGAGTGAATGATTCACTTTTAATAGTAAATGTGTTTTCTTCTCTTTTTCTATGCCTAAATATTTCCTCTACCTCCATCAGGGTCCCCATCATACCTGTGGACATACCTATATCCCTTAAGAAAAGTAAGGTGAAGCACTCATTTACCTTCAATTTTTATTTATGTATTTATTTTGCGTGTGCACATGCGTGTGCGTGCGCGAGAGCAAGCAAGCCAAGGAGGGGCAGAGGGAGAGGGAGAATCTTAAGCAGGCTCCATGCTCAGCACGGAGCCAGATGTGGGGCTTGATCTCCCAACCTTGGGATCATGACCTGAGCTGAAACCAAGAGCCGGTCACTTACCTACGCCACCCAGGCGCCCCTTCGATTTTTAATTTGATTACTTATATACATAATTGTTCTTATTAACGAATGTGGCTTTTGTTTTTTGTTTTGTCTTATTTCCTTCTGCTGCAGAAAGACAACATGATATGCAGAAAAAAGTTAACGCAGCAGGCTGGAGACTGCTATCCTCTGAAAAGGCCTGCTTGCAGGGTTGGCGCTGGGCCAGTATCTGGGAACTTGCTGGGTTAACAATTCCCTACACACTCATATAAAACTTTCCCTAAATGATAAGGGTTACTCACTGTGTGCCCAGACTATTTGTACAAACAGTATTGGTTTATGCTGAACACCTGCTCTCTTTCTAAGAGTTCGGAATTCTGGTACATGCTAGGCAGAGGGTGCCCATGTGACCAGCTCCAAAAATATCTTTGGCTACTAGGTCTCTAATGAACTTTCCTAGATGACAATATTTCACATGTTGTCATAACTCACTGCTGGAGGACTTAAGCACATCCTGTGTGACTCCACTGGGAGAGGACTTCTGGAAGCCTGTGCCTGATTTCCTCTGAACTTTGCTCCATGCACCATTTCCCTTGGCTGATTTTATCTGTATCCTTGCACTGTAATAAATCTTAGCTGTGAGGACAACTATATGCTGAATCCTGTGTGTCCTTGTAGTGAAATCAAAGAACCTGGGAGTGGCCTTGGGAAACCCTGACATATATGACATCTAAATTATATAAATGAAGCTGTTACTTTTTTTGAATAATGAGGCTACAAACATAACTGGAAACCTACTACCTAAAGTCTTACCTCCTGTGATACAACGACGAGCCATTTCCCAAATGATCAGGCCAAAGCTATAGATGTCGGCCATTATGTAGGGCTGGAAATGGTTTTTATTCAAGCTCTCGTCTAGCACTTCCGGAGCCATGTAGCGTTTGGTACCCACCCTGGTGTTTAAGGGTACGTCAACCTCATTTGTGTCGCTGAAACAGAAGACAGTGTTCAGGTTAAGGGCCAGGAACAAAATAGTTTATCTTGCATTTGTGTCTCATTTTGTAAGTCAGACTCTTCCCTCCGTGTGTGTACACACACACACACACACACCACATAAATATATAAAAAAATAAGATTTAAAAAAAAAAAATCTATCTCACCTACTAATCTTATATCAACATTCCCTTAACAGAATTCCTTGTGACTGGGTAAGATTTTAAAATTTAGCATTTCCCAGATTTTAGAAAAGTAATATACCCTTAAAATACATGTTACATATTACACAAAACCCCAGGAGGGTCCGGGGCGGCACTCAATCAGAATCATTACTGTCTGCAGTGAAAAGCTAAGTATGAATATTCATATTATCCTGGATAAAGACAGTAACACCTCACATCAGTTCAAGTTTCATCACCAAACAAATTTAGTGCCTCTCTAAGAAAAAGGACAGTACTGAATATAAGAAAGAGCAGTAGATAATTATGTCCCAGAACAAGCGAATGTAAAAATAAGCTGAGAGGAATCAATGCTTTTACTGTTCTCACGTGATAAACTCAGCGTTTGTGACACAAACACTTTCTTTTTGGGTTCAACTTAGTTCTAGTGTGAGTAATGTTTACATAATCATATTGACAATCAGTAATAAATGATGTTTATTGGTTTTTCAATTTTGGGACTAAATTTTAGAGTTGGAAGACATAAATGCTTTTGTTGTTTAGGCCCCCAATTCTGGCAGGTTCTGGAAACTACTCCAAAGCCAAGATTAATATAACGTGTTTTAGATTTTCTTAAACAGTACCTGATGAGTATTTGAGCCAATAAACACCACAATGATAAAGAACAACAAGATCAGAACACTGTAACAACCAGGGAAGAAGATTTAAATTTTAATATTTGCTTTATTATGGACTAGTACTTTTATTTTATAACCTGAAAATGAATTCTGAAATGTAAACTGGCTGCTATATCCTAGAGTTGTAACAATATTAAAACAGTTTCAGTAGTTCCCTAAAATTCTGATAATGCTGTTTAAAAAATATCGACAATTTCAAGTGGTGATGGAGAAATGGCATACTTCTAACTCTGTTTATGGGAGTGTAAACTGACGAATACTTCCTAAAGGAAGAGCTTGCAATTATACTATACTTTAATAGGCACATACTCTGTTTAGCCCCTTCTCTAGGAATCCACTACAAACAAATACTTACACAAGCAGTCAAGGATATTACATATGGGTAAAATACAATTAAAGCATTTTTTTAAATAATAAAGTAGGGATAACTATAATGCCCATCAGTTGGGTCATAGATGAAATAAATTATAGTACATCCACATAATGGAAAACTGCATCAACACTGTTAAAAAGAATGAAGCAAATCTATATAAATTGCAATAGAATGATGTCTAAGACAATAAAAAGCAGGAAATCAGAAACTATGTAGAGTAGGTTGTAATTTTTTAAAAACAAAACAAAACAAAAAACAGAAAAACCCAGAGAAACAGAACACCAAGACAGAAAATCCCAATTATTTATTTATATAACCAGATAAGCCCAAATACATGTTTGGAATTCCACTATCTTGAATCCAAATAGGCAACTATCTTTTGGAGGTTACAATGATTTCAAAACATAGGCAAAGAACCGCTTACCTATTGAATTTAACAGCAAGGCCCAGGTCAGCAATACAGCAACTTCCATTTCTCTTAATGAGGATGTTTTTGCTCTTTAGGTCTCGATGAGCAATCGCAGGCTTTCCTTGGGTGCCATAAATTTCAGTGTGGAGATGGCACAGACCACAGGCAGCTGAATAAGCCAACTTGAGCAGGGCTCTGGTGTCTAGTGTAGCGCATTTCAGGAAATCATAGAGAGATCCATTTTCATGGTAATCAGTAATCAAATAGAGCTGAGTCCAGGAACCTGTACCTTTAATGTCTGCCGCTATGAAACCTGTTCAATTAATGGGTTTAAAGCGTTAGTTATTAGAAATGGGTAAGAATAATAATGAATGCTCATTTAGGATACTGAGAATAACTCTGGTATCTTACTGTACAGATAATAAAAATTTAATTTGCCTAGCAAAATCTCTTGAATGTGTACCATTCTTTCCTGCCATTTTCACAGATAACTCTACATTTCTGCAATATATTTAAAATAATCTTAATGATAATCATGAAAATGACAATCATATGACTAAGAAAAAGATCACATATCAGAAAATAACCTGGGGAAATGCTATCCATCTCCATGATTCTCTAAGCATGAAGAACTATAAGAAGAAGGAGTGTGGAAAAGTTCTCAATTTCAAATTGAAAAGTGTATACATTAAAATAACAAAGTTAAAATGTTCAACCACGGGTTTGCTCCTAAGCCAGCTCCCATTTGCCCATCAAACCTATCTATCTGGCTCACTGATAAGCGGGGCCATGATACCGGCCTCCTTCCTTTCTTTTTCTTGTCCCCTTTCCCTTCAGAAGAAGGTGAGTGAGTGCTGGGTTGAATGGTGCGCACCCCCCGACTCCAGCCAATTCACGTCCACTTGGTACTGGTCTATGTGACCTTATTTGGAATAGGGTCTCTGTAGATGTAACCAAGTTCAGAGAAGGTCAATACTAGATTCAAGTGGGTCCTGATTCAATGACCGGTATCCTCACAAGAGGGGAATGTGGACATACAAGGGAGAAGGCCATGTGACAAGAGAGGGTAGGAGTGCTCTCCGAGCCGAGAAGTGCCAAAAATTGCTGACAGTTACCAGAAGCTGGGAGGAGGTAAGGAAGACGCCCCTCCTAGAGCCTTCAGAGAGCATGGCCCTGCCGACACCCTCCTTTTAAACTTCTGGCTTCCACAACTCCGGGAAAATAAATTTCTGTTGTTTTAAGCCACCCAGTTTGCGGTAATTTGTTGTGACAGCCCTTAGGAAACTAACAGTTAAATGTCTGGAATACTTGTGGCAATGTGCTATGCTCTCTCTAAATTAAAGGGTAGGGAAATAGTAGCTGAAAAGTCAGGAAAGCTAGAGGAGTTTCTGCACCCTACTAATCAGATCATACATAAATTATTTTTCTATTTTGTAAATGAAGGTGGGGGGGGTTGGTTTATAAAAGGCAAAAGGCACATAAAGTTACACTAGAAAATTGCTTAAATTACCTTTAAAAAAACTTGGGCTGTGTTACTATATGAGTAAGTCCAACAAACTAGCACTACTTCGAATTTGAAACTCCCTATTGTTTTCCTAGTTGGAGAGTAAATAAAGCGGTTGGTGGGCATTCAGGATTGTTTTGGAATTAAACTGTGTATTCCCGTGGGTTTCCTTCAGCCAGATGCACATAATAGAATTAACGTATGTTTTCAAAGCCCGTGTGGCAGGCTTCCACTGCACCCCACTAACCCTGTCAGAATATGGAATCGGGCGAAACCAAATGTGTACCCACCAAGTATGTTTTCGTGGCGCATCAGCACAGTCTGATAGATTTCCGTTTCTCGAAACCAGCTAGCTTCTTCAGTGGTAAAAAACACTTTGACTGCCACCTTTTCACCACGCCATTTACCCATCCACACTTCTCCGTACCGGCCTTTACCGACTTGCCGAACCATCTGAATCTGTTTGGCAATAGTTCGCTGAACCTTCACGATAAAAGCAGAATGTTTGTGGAGTTCTTGATGAAAAGAACTGGCTAAGACTGAGAAAGTGGCCCGATAGCCTGTCCCATCAAAAAGGACGGGATGTACAACCAACCCACCCCAATGGTGGAATTTATAAAGGATTTAAAAGAAGATGAAACAATGTACAATATACATTGTGAAATCGCACACTAACGGGTTAGGTGACGTGACAGATTGTTTGCAGAAATGGTCAACATAATTCTGTTCCCAGTCCCAGTCCACACCCTTGGGTAGTCTCCTCGGCAGACTCTGGGCGTGGCCACAGGATTTGCTTTTGGCAATGGAACAACGGCAGATGTGATGCAAGTAGAGACTTGAAAAGTGTTTGTGCTCCAGGGCTTGCCCTTCCCTGCTATTGTGGAGAACTCTATGAGGGGTGAAAAAACCCTGGGAGCCCCTGGCCCTGTCCGTGAACTAGATCATCTAACTCTCTAGCTGAGCAGGTCTAGAAAAGGAACTGCCCAGCAGACCCACAGAATCATGAGAGATAATAAATGTTTGTTGCTTCAAGCCACTAAGTTTAGGGATGCTTTGTTATGCAGCCAAATCTAAATGTTAGTTACAAATCTTCCACTCAAGTCATTAAGACCCTACATGATCTGGCCCCTGCCTGCCTCTCCGCCTCATCATTTGCTCTCATGACCCACCTCTTACTCCCCTTACTTCAGCTTTTAGAATTCATTCCTGCATATTCCTGTCTCAGAGTCTTTCTGCATGTGCAGTTCCCTTTACTTAAAAGGGTCGTTTCTCTGTGAGACACCTTCATAGCACACGTATACCTCTCAGCTGCTGCACTTATCACAATTACAATTTTATTATTATTTATATATGGATTTGTTTGAATTCTATTCCTTCCTACTCACAGAATATAGGGATTTGTTTAGGGGAACACTTGAAATATAGTAAGTGCTTTCATTAATTTTTGTTGACTCAAAGATGCACATTAATTGCTACCTTTCATTTTCAGAAGCACTAGTGGCCATTCTAAATATTAAAAAGAACCCTAAGGTCCAGGCTGGAAATGCAGTTAAAATGAATTACATTTTGTGCATACCTAAACTGACTTACTTTATGTATCAGTTATTTCAGAATCCTTTTGTAATTTTTAAAGAAGTCAGGATTATTGAGGTATAAGTTACATACAACAAAATCCACTCTTTTTGAGAACTGTTTGACGGGTGTATACAGTCATATAACCACCACCACAATTAAGATAGAGAACGTTTCCATCACCCAAGAAAGTTCCCTCTTGCCTCTTTAAAGTCAATCCCCTCCCCACCCACCCCCAGGCCCTGGCATCACTGATCTGTTTTCTTTTCCTACAGTTTGATCTTTTCTGGAATATCACATAAGTGAAAACATACAATATGTAGTCTTTTGTGTCTAGCTTCTTTCGCTTAGCATAAAGCACTTCAAAATTCATCTGTATTGTTGTTGCCTGTATCAGTAGTTCCTTTTTTATTGATGAGGAATGTTCCACTGTATGAATGTACCATGACCTGTTTATCCATTTACCAAATGATGGACTTTTGGGTTGTTGACAATTTATGTCTTACGAATAAAGCTGCTGTGAACATTCACATTCAGGTCTTTGTGTGGGCATGTCTGCAGATCTCCAGTAAATACTTAGCGGAAGAACTGCTTCACCATAGAGAAAGTATATGCTTAACCTTTTCAGTCAACTGTCAACCCGCTTCCCAAAGTGACTGAAATGTTTTCATTTCAATCAGCAATGTACGAGATTTCTAGTTGATCTGTACTCTTTTCCGCACTTAATATTCTCGGTCTTAGTCATGCTAGTGGATGTGCAGTATCTCACTTTAATGTTTAACTTGCAATTCCCTGCCTTTTCTTGTGCTTATCTGCCGCAATTCCTTTCTCTTCTTTTGGGAAGTATCTGTTCAAATCTTTTGTCCATTTTAAAAAATGGGGTTGTCTTATTACTGAATTGTAGACATTCTTTCAGATCTGTGTTGCCAGTTTGTGACTTATTTTTTCCTTTGCTTAAGCTAAGAGTCTTCTGAAAAGGAAAAGTTTCAAATTTTAAAAAAGCTTAATTTATCATTTTGAAAAATGATTCATGCCTTTTGTGTCCTAAGAAACCTTTGCTTAACCCAAGGTCACAATGATTTTCTAAAACATTTTCTTTTAAAAGTTTTTAGACTTTAAATTTTACATTTTACATTTAGGTCTATGGTCCATTTCAAGGTAATTTCATATTTGGAGATAAGGGTCGAGATACACATTTTGGGAAATGGATGCTCAATCTTCCCTGCACCATTTGTGGAACAGACGGTCTTCTCCCCACCGAATTACTCTGGCACCAAATCAAGTGACATTTGTGTCCATTTCTATGCCCTCTATTCTCTTCCACTGACATATATTTATCCTTATCCTTAAGGACCACACTAAGCTGATTACTGTAGCTTTACAGTAGGTCCAGAAAGGAGGCAGTGAATCTTTTGTTCTTTTTCAAAAGTGTTTTGGCTCTTCTTTGCATTTCCATATAAATGTTAGATCAGTTTATCAATTTCTACAAACGTTTGCTCTGATTTTGGACTGAATGGAACTATAAGTCAACTTAGGATAACTGAAATTTTAATACTGAGTCTACTGAGTCAAAAACAGGATATATATCGCCCTTATTTAGGGCTCTGTTAATTTCTCTTGGCAGTGTTTTCTAATTTTCAGTGCTCAGGTCTTACATAAATTTTGTTAAGCTTATTCTAAAATATTTGATGTTTTTTGAAGCTATTTTAAATGGTACTGCTTTTAACATTTTAATTCCTAACTGCTTGTTGCCAGTGTACCTATATTCAATGATTTCTGTATAGTGACCTTATATTTTACAACCCTGATAAACTCACTTGCTGGTTGTTACAGCTTTATGGTATCATCCTTAAAATTTTTCTTTGTAGATAATCATGCTGTCTGCACATGACAAGAGTTTTACTTTAACCTTTCCAATTCAATTACAGAATTATTTAACCCAATAAATTAAAAAATTAGAGATCAATGTACTTACTTTAAACAAATGCAATTAAACAATTAAAATATGTCTGCATATCTAGTATTTATTAATTTGAAATAGTTATACTTCTCTCAACTAGTGAATTTAATCTTAGGTGCAAGGAATTTATATCTGACTCCTCTTTAAAAGTTGGCTGTTAAAAGCAAAACTTACGAGCTAACTCTAGCACTTATACAGAACTTCATGATCACATTTTCTTTCTTAACTCTGCTTGTGGCTCTATCTTACTGCCTATTCTATTCTTCTTGTCTCACAGTTCTTACTTTTAACTGATTTCTTCTTGCATGACTGCAGCCATCTTTCTAAATAAGAAGGAAGAAAAAAAAAAAAGACCTACTGCAAACCTAGTAATGTTCCCTAATCTGTAACAATCACGCTGCCTACCATCATATAAGGACATAATCTGTACCAATAAACCACTCATGTCTATATGACATTTTATCTTACCAATAAAGGTAGTCCGGATCCACTACCAGAACTCTGTGACTGGTCAATGAGGTCTTTTAATGATTCTCCAACTGGAATAAATGCTTCATCTTGTTCCAAATCACGATTATAACGACGTCTGCTTGAGATGCTCTTGCAATAATGTCTTTTAAAAAAGCAGAAAATAACCTACATTATAATTCCCAAACTACAAAGTTCTAGGGTAAGAAAAATCTTGAGGTTGTCGACACCATCATCCTTCCTTCAGATAGAATCACATCCAAATTAGTCTTACAGGATAATATCTCCTCTGTTAAAGTAATGTCTAGGAATGGAGTTTATGAGGTAGAGTTCTATGTACATGTTAAAATGGAAAGATGTCCACAGTGCATTGGGTAGTGAAAAAAAAAAACAGATTAAAAACAGCACGCAGAGTGTGATCCTAGCTATACAATTTTTAAAAAATTATATATATCTACATATGTCTAAAAAGATCAGAAGAGATATATAACAAGTTGTAAATAGTAGTTATTTCTGGGCATGTTGGAGTACCCACCTTCTACTTTACATAAGCATTGCCGTTTGAATGTCAGTATTTTGAATTTTGTTGTATCAAAATGAACAATGAATATAGTTCCATTTTAAAAAAGGGAAAAGGAGCTGATGCAAAGAAATCAAACAAGATCTCTGAACTCATTCTGACAGTTTTTTTTATAAGGATTTTATTTATTTGACAGAGAGAGATAGCGAGAAAGGGAACACAAGCAGGGGGAGTGGGAGAGGGAGAAGCAGACTTCCCGCCAAGCAGGGAGCCCGATGTGGGACTCGATCCCAGGACCCCAGGACCATGACCTGAGATGAAGGCAGACGTCTAACGACTGAGCCACCCAGGCGCCCTCATTCTGACAGTTTTGAAGGTTCTTTTTACAATTTCAAATTATGAAATACTTCAAACATACAGGAAAGTAGAGATTTAACTGCAACCCATGTGTAGACCATTAACTGAATAGATATTAACATTATATTTATTTTAAAGACAAAACATTAGAAATATTTGAAGCTCCTGCCATTTCCCTGATAATTCCATTTCCTTCCTTTACTCCTCAGAAACAAACACTATCCTGAAAGGTGGTATGTCCTTCTTAATTGAATATATTCATAAACAACACTGTTTCTCTGGATACAAAGTGACTCGAATGGCATATGCTGTATTACTACTTGATATCTTGCTTAAAAAAAAAAACAACTTCCTTATGTTTTATGTATTTATCCATGCTGATACCTGTTTAAAAACAATGGCTCATTTTTATTGATGCTGAGTGTGTCATACATTGTTCTAGGACTCACTTCCTCTTCATAAAACTCCTAAGAGGTGAACACTATTGCTCCTATTTCACAGACCAGGAAAATATGACCCAGAGGTTCATCATTTGACACCACCAAGTGGTGAAGCTGGGATCCAAACCCAGAGGCCTGGGCCTGGGAGCCACGGTCTGTCACTACTATTCTGCCAAGGAAATGATTTAAATGGTACCTCGGGTTCTTGTGAGGAATTTACCACAATTTACTCTGACAGTCATATCTGTTAATTCCAAAAGTTTGTTAATACAAATAGTAACGCAAAAAATATTTTTGTGCCAGGCTCTTGTGCAGGAGTATAAGAATTTCTCAAAGGTACATACCCTTTCAATTTTAGTGATATCACTTAATTGCTCTCCAAAGTGGAATAATATATAAAGTATAATAATAATAATATTATGCTATAAAATATTTATATATGATACTTTATAATACTATTTTAATATTTTATAATATAAATATATTACTATAATTAATATAAATATAAAACATATAATACAATATTTTATATTACACTATTATAGTATATAGTATATACTATACTATAACTATTACTATTTATATACTACACTATACTATATATTATACTATACATTACACTATATATAATACTATTACAATATTTTATAATGTATTATAAAGTATAATATCACAATGTGCATTTCCCCATGTTCCAAGTTTGCACTAGAATATGCACCTTTTTAGGCTGTTACCAACCTGATGGATATGAACAGACTCATTTTCCCCTGACTTCTAAGAAAGTTCATATTTTTTCCTACGGTTCATTTTTTTCTGTGAACTGCTCCTCATATTTTTTTGCCTATTCTGTAAAGTGCCTATTCATGCTATTTAACAGGGATGTTTTATCTTTTTTTCTCATGGATTCATTAGGAGTTTCTTATATAATCTGGATGCTAAATCTTTGTTAATTATGCTACAAGAGTCTTCTCTCAGTCTGTCAGTATCCTGTCATTCCACTTACTGTGCTTTGTTTTGTTTTGTTTAAAGATTTTATTTATTTATTCATGAGAGAGAGAGAATGGCAGAGGGAGAAGCAGGCTCCCAAGGAGCAGGCAGCCCGATGTGGGACTCGATCCCAGGACTCCGGGATCATGACCTGAGCCGAAGGCAGACGCCCAACCATCTGAGCCACCCAGGCGCCCTGTTTTGTTTTTTTAATGTTGTCAATTTAAACTTATCAATTCTCCCCTCCCCCCCTTTTTAAAAGATTTTATTTATTTATTTGACAGAGAGAAACATAGTGAGAGAGGGAACACAAATAGGGGGAGTGGGAGAGGGAGAAGCAGGTTTCCCGCCAAGCAGGGAGCCCGATGCGGGGCTCGATCCCAGGACCCTGGGACCACGACTGGAGCCAAAGGCAGATGCTTAACGACTGAGCCACCCAGGCGCCCCAATCTCCCCCCTTTTTGATACATGTTTTTGTGCCATGTTTAAAGACCATCTTCTCAACCCTAATGTCATTAGCACGTTTTAAAGGTGTTATAATTCTGATTCTCTCGTTTAGTCCTTTAATCCATTTGGCACTTACAGTAAAGGATGGAAATTACAGAAAACATCAAGTCAGATTTGTTTTCTCTATGGACAGCCCAATGTACTTAGCCATTTTTGAATTTTATTTTTAAAACCTTATACGGGTAATTGACTCACAAATGGTTTAAAATTCGCACAGAAGGATGTGCAGTGAAAAATCTTCCTCCTGCCCTATCCCTACGCCATCAAGGAGGAACTGGAAACAGCCTGGAACTGGAACTGTTTCCACAATCTCTTCAGTAATCTTCAGGAGAGCCTTTATGTCTATTTAGATAAAAAGTATATATACTGCTGTTCACCTCCTCTGTTTCTCTTTTTTCTTCCAGAAATGGTAGTATGCCATACATGCTGTCCTGCATCTTGCTTTTTCACTGAGTCCTCTATCTGCGCCCATTCCACACCAGTACATAGAGCCTCCTCTTCCTTTCATGGCGAACAGTATTCCATTGTATGGCAGTTAACCATTCCTTCACCAGGAACATTTACATTGTTTCTAGTCTTGTATCATATAAGGCTAAAATGAAAAAAGTTCCTGGAATATCTCTATACAAATTGCTAGAAGTTAGAACTGAATTTGGAATTTTGATGGCATGCTCTATTGACCTCCTCCTTGAAGGTTATACTGGTTACAAACCGTCCACCATTATAGGATAGCCCATCTTCCCCACACTCTCATCCACGCCCGTATAACACTTTTAGAACTTTGTTTTTAATTTTATCCAAGTTCTATATTCATCTATTTTTTTAAAGATTTTATTTATTTATGTGGCAGAGAGAGAGAGCCCAAGTAGAGGGAGAAGGAGAAGCAGGCTCCCCACTGAGCAGGGAGCCTGATGCAGGGCTCGATCCCAGGACCCCAAGATCATGACCTGAGCCGAAGGCAGACGCTTAACCGACTGAGTCACCTAGGCGCCCCTTTCCTTGAGTACTTTGAAGATGCTGCTCTGCTCTATGCACTGTTTCCCCTGAAAAGCCAGCTACCATCATCCTTACCTTTCTTTCTCTATACCTAACCTGCCTTTTTTCTCTGACTGCATTTAAGATTTTTTTTATTACTGGCTTTGAGCAATTTGATAATGATGTACCTTGGTGTAGTTTTCTTTGAGTTTCTTGTACTTTGGCTCTACGGGTTTACAGTTCTAATTAAATCTGAAAAAAATCTTGGTCTTCATTTCTTAAAATATTTCACTCTCTCGCCTCCTCTTCTCTCCTTTCCTTTGGGAACTCCAGTGTATATACAGTTGATCCTTGAACAACATGGGTTTGAACCACATGGGTCCATTTATATGTAGATCTTTTCTTCAATACAGCATAGTACTGTAAATGCATTTTCTTTTCCTCATGATTTTCTTAATACATTTTCTTTTCTCTAAGAGCTTACTCTACTCTAAGAATATAGCATATAGTACACACCAGACAAAAAATATGTGTTAATCAGGCATTTTGTTTTATTGGTAAGGCTTCCAGTCAAGAGCAGGCTATTAGTAGTTACATTTTGGAGGAGTCGGTTATGCACAGATTTTTGACTGCACAGGCATCGGTGCCCCTAACCCTTGCACTATTCAACACACACACACACACACACATACACACACAATTAGGCTGTTTGAAGTACCACAGCTCACTGGTGCTTAATTCCTTTTTTAAGTTATTTTTTAATGGTTTACTTTTTTTTTTTTTTTTTAAGATTTATTTATTTGACAGAGCAAGAGAGCACAAGTAGGGGGAGCAGCAGAGGGAGAGGGAGAAGCAGGCTCCCCACTGAGCAGGGAGCACGAAGCAGGGCTCAATCCCAGAAGCCTGGGATCATGACCTGAGCTGATGGCAGGCGCTTAACTGACTGAGCCACCCAGGCACTCTGTTTAGTTTCTATTGCAATGTCTTCATGCCTAATCCTATTTTCTTCTATAGTATCTAATCTGCCATTAATCTCATCCAGTGTACATTTCATCTCAGTACAGATTTCATTTCCTTAAGTTTGATTTGGGTCTTTTTATATCTTCTATGTCTCTATTTCACTTTCTGAACATATAAAATACAGGTATAATAACTATTTTAATGCCCCTGTCTACTAATTCTAAAATCTAGATCAGTTCTGGGTTGGTGTTTTTGATTCTTCATTATTGGTTGTATTGGTTGTATTTTTGCATGCCTGGTGATTGTTGACTGGATGACAGACACTGTGAATTTTACCTTGTTGGGTGCTGGGTATTTTTGTTTCCCTCTAAATATTCTTGAATTATGTTCTAGGATACAGTTATTTGGAAACAGGACAATCCTTCTGAGGTGGAACCAGTGTCATGTTTAGTCTAGGGCTACTTATTTCCAATACTGAAGCAAGACCCTTCTGAGTACTCTAACCAAAGCCCTGTGAATTATGAGGTTTTCAAGTCTCACAGCTGGTGGGAACAGACACTATTCCCAGAATTGTGTGTGCATCAAACAATGTTTTCTTCAGTCTTTTCAGGCACTCTTTCCCAGCCTTGGGTAGTTTCCTCACTTCTACATGCTGATCAAGATTCAGCTAACTATTTGATGGGAACTGTCTGTAGATATCCAGAGTTCTTTTCCTGTGAAGCACTCTCCTCTCCAGTACTCTGTCCTATGAACTACAACTGCTATTCATACCCCAGACTCAGCTACATCTCCTGGAGAGTCAGAGCCTTCTGGGCTACACCTGGGTTCCTCCTGTGTCCTACAGCTAGAAACTCTCTCTGGGCAGTAAGGAGGGCAATCATAAGCCTCATTTCATTTATCTCCTGTTTTTTGGGGATTAGTGTCTTTCACTGCCTGATGGGCAGCTATTAGTATGTGAGTGGGGTTTACTGATTATAGGCTTCACTGTAAGATGACTGCCTGGGCCATTTCATTGGGTCCACTGGGGTCAGTATATTTAGGTCTTTTCTCTTGCGCTGGATGGATTTCCCCAAGATTCTTCCAATTTGTTATTTGAATAAGCCTGGCTGACAGGGTTCTGGGATAGTTGACGGGGCCCACCAATCAGTATGTAAATGTTCAGTTTACCTCCATGTTTTCACTGTAATACCTCACTCTCAATAATGGATGCCACACTAAGAATCTTATCTTTGTTCTTTCCAGAGAATACACTTCTAGTCTTCTATTAGGGAGATGGTGGGGAAGTGACTGTTCAGAACAGCAGTAGCGAATCTTATCATCTGTGGTACTTGCCATCCAAGATGACCCACAAGGACCCTCACCTCCTGGTATGCATGTCCTTGTTTAGTTCCCTTCCATAACACAGTAGGGCTGACCTGTGTGACCAGGAGAATGTGGCAGAAGTGATGGTGTGACTTTTGAGTCTAGATTGTATGTAGCTTTGCAGCTTCCACCTTGATCTCTTGGATCACTCACTCTAGGAGGAAAAAGCCAGGCTTCACGCTACAAGGACACTCAAGCAGCTCTGTAGAGAGGCTCACATCAGAGAAACTACGGCTTCCCGCCAATATGTGAGCCTTAGAAGTGAGCTACCTTTATCTTGGAAGGTGATCTACCAGCTCCAGTCAAGCCTTCAGGCGAACACAGCCTCTGCTGAAGTCTGAGTGGATGTAATGAAAGATCCTGACACCCAGTAAGTCACTCCTGAATTTCTGACCCACCGTGAGAGACAATTAATTGCTGTTTTAAGCCACTGTGTTTGGGAGTGATTTCTTAATGCACTATTGCATAACACACACAGCATCTGACTTTCTAAAAATAGACTTTCAAGCAATCCTCTTGGTTTTACTGCCACTCTCAACTTTACTTCCAGAGATAACTGGTACTGCCAATTCTTGAGCTTCTTGGAGAATTCTATGATATAAACTGGTTGCTTTTTTACTGTCTCAAAATTCTAGCCTAGGAGTCTGATCTTTTAGGTCTGCAAAGTCACTTACTACTCATCCAAAAGCTTCCCAAGCTCCAAAGTTTTTTGCTGTTATCTCCTGTTCTCCTTGTCCTAGTTGGACAAAGTAGTTAAAAACTATTGCTTTTTTACTGGAGGCAGCAAGAATGAGTATGCTCAACCTGCCTCTTTATCTAAGAATTTCTGCCAGTATAACAGGTGAAAAACAGTATGTCAGTATGATTTTAATTTATATTTTTCATATTGTGAGTATTCTTGAGTCATCTTTTTATTTTGCTTTTAAGACCTCTAAGTATTTCCTTTTAGGTAAATATTCATTTTCCCACTGAACCGCTAAGGTTTTTTTTCTTTTTGATTTATAAAAGCTCTCTATATTTGAGAAATCAGCTCTCTGTAATATAAGATGCCAATATTTTTCACTGTTTGCATTCTGTTTATGGTGGTTTCTGCCACATAGTAAAGTTTTATTTTTCTGCCACATAGTAAAGTTTTATTTTTATGTAATTGACACAATTTATTTTTTTAATTTAAAGTTTTGTTTTCTGTGCGTGTGGTTTTTTTGCTTTTCAGTTTTGTGTCAGACTCAGAAAGGGCTTCCACATCCTGAGATTATTTTCTAAAATTCTTCCACTGTTTGTTCCAGTGAAGTGATGAATCACTTCATTTTCCATATATCTAGTTCCAAGCTGGGGAAAATTTATTCCAATGTAGGTAACTGATTAAACTTCATCTTTAAAAAAAAAAAAAAAAAACTTTATCTTTTTCCATATAGCTACCTACTACCAAATCCATTTATAGAATTATCCAAATTTTCCCCAGTGATCTGAAATGTTCCCTTTATCATATACTAAATTTCTTTATATACTTGGGTCTATTTATGGGTCTCATAACCTGTTCTACTGATCTCTTGGTCTATTCATATGCCAGTAAGATAAAGCTTTATTACTGAAGTTTATCCCCTCTTGTTGTTACTCTTCTCTTTTGGCAACTGTCCTCTGAAATCATGACTAAACACAAACAATTCTGAAGCCACAAATAACTAATGAATGATAATGTACTTGGCTTTTGGGGACAGATCTTCCACACTCATATATAAGAAAGTTCAATATTCTATAAATAAGAAAAATCATAAGAACTAATGAACAAAACAAGAAGTATAAAGTTGGGTTCAACTAACTGATTAGTAGTAAGGTCCTCTTTTCCCTTAAGAAAATTATAATCTAGTTAGGAGATTATAACCTAAAGGAGATAGAACCAGAGAATACAAGTTAATGGTGTCTCAATAATTTCTTTGCACTGGCTTTTAAAGAACTGCTCATATCTAATATTCAACAAAATATTTTGTATCAAAATAATTATCTTACTTGTAACAAAAGCAGCTGGAGAAGATGATCATAGCAATTATGCAGACAGCCATAGAAATGAGCACAACCAGCCACCGAATGCTGCCATCAAAAAATGGACCTGACAAGGGAAGTAAACAATAAAGTACACATATTATCTTTCTATCACATATTAAAGGGGAAAAATAATTTGTAGTGTTAAATTCTAGAAAGCTTGCTTACTGTTAAAGCCAGAGAAAATATTTTACTGAAAATCATGATCATGCTCTTCTCGGCTAACCTACCTATGACAACAGGGGGCAGTGTAGGTTGTAAATACTGGTTACATAAATTGGTCCGACAACATTCTATCGTCCGGCGTAGCTGGGCTTTTGGTGAATCCTAGAGGAAGAGTAATGATAAAATTAAAAATGGCTTGATATTTTAAGTTTATAATGAGGTTTTTTTAATATTCATAAATATAATTTCTAATTCACCTGAAAGAACAAGACCTCTGAATTTTGAATCTGTGCTGAAATAGTGAAGACTGTGAAATTATTTTTCCTAAGGAGAACATATGTATGTGGATGGTGTGTCAGAACACTGAACTATAAATTACAAGCATAAGTTCATAAGTATTCTACACCAAAACTTTGGCATATCAATATATTACTATTCATTTGTTTTAATAAAAATATAAGTCATGGGATCTTTTCCTTAAAAAACATGGATAAGACATTTTATCACAATGATGAACTAGCAGGGTACACAGAATCTCATAGCAGTACTTAAGTGGAGGGTAACCCAGTCTAAAGAAAAGAGATGTCAGAAAAAGTAGTCGAGTAAGTAGAAGATACTGCACAGTCTGCTTACAACAACTACGCTGTAACTAATGAACCCCACGTAGAAGCAAGTTAAAGCAGATGCAGTGAGGACAAAGGCAAAATATAGAAGCCATATTCCTGAGCTTCTCAGAGTCTACCACCAACCAGATATGAGATGCGTCCCTAATAGGTCAGAAAATGAGCAGAGGAAAAGACCGTAGTCATGAGAACAGACATCAACAATTATGTGTGAAGTTTGACTTGATTGGTACAGTACTTGACAAGTTATTAACTTGAATGCTGACATTTCAGCACTGCCTGGGAAAATTGCCATTCTGAACCAAAATAGTAACAGAAAGGAATTGCTTGTCATTATAAAAGTAGCAACAATATAAGCAGAAATTGACCATGCTATTTTTAAATATCAGATGGCCAGAAAGGAAAAATTTCAGTATGCTCGAGTATGACTTTAAAAAGGTGAATAGGAGTCCATGATTTGAGATTCTATCAGGGAAGGTGGGTCAAGAGTATTTGGAAACTTTCAAAACCACAAGTTTTACACTTTAACTGAATTTTTAACATTAAAACAATTTTTACTTTTAAATGATCATAAAAAGAGAAAAGACAGATATGTTAGGAGTTATACAGGTGACTCTGAAATCATCCCAGATCGAGGACATTTACACGAAGGATGGAATGAAGAGTACATAACTGAAGATGAATACAAGGACTACGAAGCATCCAAGAACAGCTGCAGGAAGGCTAATGATCAAAATGAGCTGAGCCTTGCAGAAGAGAAAATGTAAAGAAAAACGAAGAAAGGGTTTCTCTGGCAATGCCAGAAGACAGACCACCAAGCGATGGATGTGTTGCTGACAGAACATCAGGTGAGGGGGACAAAGATCAGCACCATGCAGTGGGAGCCGCTCTCCCAGACACAGGAAGAGATCCTCCAGGGCTCCTGTGTTCTGCATGAGTGCCTGCCCTCGAAGCCGAAGCCGGGTGATCACACCCAGCAAGGGAAGAGAGAGGCCTGGAAGGCTTGTGTGATGGGAAGATTTTAGCAAAAACAAGTGCTGGAGACTGAAGAGCTAAATGTTATACTATTTCTTCTTCTTCTTCTTTTTTTTTTTTTTAAAGAAAAAGAAAGCAGGGGCGCCTGGGTGGCTCAGTCATTAAGCATCTGCCTTAGGCTCAGGTCATGATCCCAGGATCCTGGGATCGAGCCCCGCATCGGGCTCCCTGCTCCGCGGGAAGCCTGCTTCTTCCTCTCCCACTCCCCCTGCTTGTGTCCCCTCTCTTACTGTGTCTCTCTCTGTCAAATAAATAAATAAAATCTTTAAAAAAAAAAAGAAAAACAAAAAGAAAGCAGACTTGGCCAACTAGAGTTTGGAGGCAGCATGGTATTATGGAAAAAGCAAGGGCTCTGGAACCAAAAAGTTTATTAAATCCTAGCTTTGCCACTTACTAACTTTGTGAACGATGAACTTCTCTCTGCGCTTTTGTTTCCTCTGCTGTAAAATGGAGGACAAAAAAAACACCTGCCTTATGGGGCAACTGTGAGGAAATGAGGTAGCATATACCAAGTACCTAGCATATTAAATACAAACAGTAAATACTCGATAAATTAATTCTTTTTGCTCTAGTAAATGTGACATGATCCTAGTGGGGATTCTAGAACAAGCCAAAAATGCTTCTAAACTCCTAGAAGAGCCAAAGTGACTTCACCAAGAACAGTAATAGCAGCCTCAGCTCCCACCTCTCTTAGGTAGGCTACCTGGATGGGCAAAGATGAGATGGTCAAGTTGGGGGAGGGGACCTTTCCTATTCCTGCACTCCCCCATTCCCATCCGCCACCCATGTCCATTTGTGTGATTTGTCCAGAGTCACGTGAGCTTAGATACTTAGATTTGAATTACAACACTGTTTGTAATTTGGAAATGAGGTTTTCAGTCCCAGGCCTTTAATCTGTAAACCAGGAGGGAGATGGGTGATTGTGCAAAGGAAAAAAGGAACAGAAATTGCCTGGGGAGCCCTGTTCTCAGGCAGGCCAAGAGGACTAGGCTCTGGAAAGCAATTCCCCTAAACTCTCCCCTAAACTATCCACAAGCCTATGTGATCCTTGTATAACACAGTCTGTGTGTACCTAGGGATGCACATAACCGGCTTAGCGACTGCTCAGTTATATCATCAAAGCTAACATTTATTAAGCCCTGTGTGCTAAACTCTTTACATATATGTTATCATATCATTTGATCCTTACAACTCCTTTAAAAATGAGAAAACAACTTCAAAAAAGAAAAGCTCCTTGCCCCAAAGTTCTGCAGCTAGTAAGCAGCAGCACACGGAGCTGAATACACATTATGAAGTTTTAGCAACTTATATTAGTGAATTCAATTTGTGATACACCTAGTTTAGGGGGCTTGCAGGATACTGGTTATTACTGCTGAGCTCAGTGCTCTAACCATAGTTCTTTCTTCAATATTTTCAGTGATAAAAAATGTATAGAATTTGGGATTGATAAACATGGAAATGGCATAAAACTGGAAGAAATAATCAAATTAGCATCCCCCCAAAATCCTGACAAATTACAGAAAAGGACTAATTCTAACATGATAAAATTTAACATAGACAAGTATGTAACAACTGTTTAACAAAACTCATTCCATTCCCATCCTATTTGTGTCAAGAAACCAAAAGAACCAATAAAGAATGGAAGAGCTGTGGTTCAGCGGAAGCGTGAGTTAAAGACGGGGATTTTGGCTGACCGGAAGCTCGACAGGTTTCAACAGTGTGGCATGACAATCTAATATCTAACATGAGATTTGGCTGTATTTAGAAAAAGGGAAAGGAGTTACTTAGTCTCTGCATTTTTTTTTGTTCCTGGTCAAACCACACTCGATTCTGCATGTAACACTGAGAAACCGGAGTAACTGAAGCTGATCATAGACGGAGCAGTTGACGTGACCGGGAACTAGCATTTTCACGGGCAAAGATGAGAGGGTATGGGGAGGAATGCAGGACCACACAAAAAACTTTCTTCACACAGTAAAGGGCTATCTTATTAAAGAGGTTTTAGATTTGTCCTCTGTGGTCCAAAGGGGCAGGAAGAGATTTATAGTCATTAGGAGGAAAAGCTTTCTAAAGATCAGGTCAGGTTGTTCGTACAGATGAAACAGGTGGTCTTGGGAGGCAAGGAGCCCCTGTCACTAGAGGTATTGCACTAAAAAGCAGATGGGATGCAAAACGTGTTTGTGGGGGGGAGGGAGGATGTACAGAGGGGACGTGCGGATCCCCAACTTTAGCAGAGGTCAGAACATATAACCTTTAAAGTTTCTATCAATCCTGAGAATTTCTTAAAATGGGAATAACTTCCTAAAATAGTCAAACCCTAAATCTGTGAACAAACAGTTCTGTCTGAAGCTGTTTTTCAAAAACACTGGAAGGATTGCTGGGGCAAAATTACCATACAGGATTTTGAAGAGATTAGGTTTATACCCGAGAGCCATCAGGATGTCCATAAACTCTTTATTACCAGCCCTCTGATGCCTTTGCTGCTACTGTTGAAATAGCTCCACTAAGATTTCCTTACAAGGACTGAACTTGTCCCAGGGACACAAAGGTTACTGCCCATCACCCTAAAGTCCTTCCAGTCAATTTTATAATCCATGGATGATACTGTGACAATATTTTTTACAGTCATGACAATTTGAAAACAGGATGATTTAAAACTTTTTTTTAAAGCAAAATAATCTGGAACTTCAATTACCACAATCCTACCAATTGAAGCAAGAGCTAAGCTTCCTCCAATATATTTGATTTATAAGAACATACAGTGATGATGAGCAGATCAGGCACACTTCTCCTGAAGAGAGGAATACTTTCACGTGGTCGCTCCCTTCTTTATTTTATAGGCCCCAAATGAGATCTTACCTTGCACTGAAAGTCAGATCCTTCATATTTCATACACCCTGAAGCTAATGTGGTTTCTCCCTGATCATCTTCTTCTATGATGGCAAAGCAATGCCCATTAGTTCTAAAAGAAAAGACCCCCCCAAAAAACAAAAAACATAACTTCACATCAGAAAGTACCAATTAAATCTCAATTTGAATGTGACTGGGTACTAATGACCTTTAGTACCTTGTTTTTTGAACTAGAACTGCATTCACATGTTATTTATCAGGAAAATTCTATGGGTTTTCGGGCAAATGAAAGAGTTTCAAGCATCTGAACTAAAACCTTATGGTCCAAGGTGGAAAAATTTCTTTTAAAATGAGCCCTCCAAATATGAATTATTATGTAACTTCTCTTTGCTAATCACAGCCATGTGATCACAGGAAGCTGATTTATAAAATTTTACAAAGTAAAGAATCTTAATGTTTTAAAAATATGCTTAAAAACGGCTATCTGTTTAGGGCACCTAGGTGGCTCAATCGACTGAGTGTCTGACTGTTGGTTTCAGCTCAGGCTCAGGTCACGATCTCAGGGTCGTGGGATCAAGCCCTGTGAACAAGATTCCGTGTTCAGTAGGGACTCTGCTTGACATTTGCGCACGCTCTCTCTCTCCCCCCCCCCAGCCCTTCCCCCAACTCGCACACACTTGTTCTCTCTCTCTCAAATAAATATATCTTTTTAAAAAAAGACTTCCTCTTTTTATCCATAGGATTTTCAGTATTCACATACCACAGACAATAAATAAAAACTTTTCTATGAAACACAAAACCAGACTAACGACAAAGAAAAATATACTTGGGAATAACAGACTGACTAAGATCCTGAGAGGTGCATTTTACTGAATGTGATATGAAAAAAGGGATAACTTTTGAACGGCTTCAAGAAATTTACATATATATGTATTTAACGAAATGTTATCATTTTAGTATTAGTATATTGGAGTTTACCCCTAATATATTTAGACTTTAATGGGTAAGAAGACACTTGTAAAAGCTTCTTTTTTGTGGGATGCCTGAGTGGCTCAGTCGGTTGTGTCTGACTCTTCGGATTTTGGCTCAGCTCATGGTCTCAGGGTTGTGGGATCAAGCCCTATATCGGGCACCATGCTCAGCTGGGAGTCGGCTTGAGATTCTTTCTCCCTCTCCCTCTGCCCCTCCTCCCACTTGCGTGCACTCTCTCTCTCTCTCAAATAAATCAATAAAATCTTTAAAAAAATAAAAACAAAAGCTTTTTTGTGTGCTCTTACTTATTCATATCAGTAAGTATATTGTTTCTACTTAAAAGACTCTTGCAGAATTATTAATTTTTTTGTAAGGAAAAATGCTAAGTGTGGGGCAAAATTCTGTTAAAATTAATGATTCAGTTATTCTGGATTACTAAGCCACTAACAGCCCACACATATCAGGCACGTATTACGGACAGTAAGTTTGGCAAGAAATTACCTGGTGACATAGTGTGGAACACTCCCCTATGACAAATTAATCAGGCTGTCACAATAAATTCAACTACCACCAGAGGACAAACAACAAATCTAAGACATGGTGAACTATCATCTAATTTCAATATTTTACATGTATACTTTTTGGCTTTATATCTGGTGACATTCAAAGAGCATACAATCATTAGGAAAGTACAAAGCAGGATGTTATTACCTTCATAATAGGGACACAATTAATTAACTGATCAGACTGTGCTGTTCAGGGAATTTTTTTGGCTAGTAAGCCAATTCTTCAATGTCCCCAAACAATATGGAACAGAATTATATGATCATTTATAAATGTGTTGAATAGTTAACATAAAATTAAGTAGGAAAATTAATACCGTCATAAAAATCAGATTTGGATTGGGAGCTCATTTCTAAGAAAGCAAAATAAAATTAAGTATCAAAATATCAACTCCTATCTTTCTGTAAAATATTTCAACCAATTCAGAATTATAAGATTTTGGGTGAATTTCTTTTTTGGTAATCTCTAAATTTTCTACAATAAGTATGAGTAAACTTTATGATAAAAAGATTATTAAATAAACTCAAAATGTTAGACAAATACCAGATTCCTTTTATCTCCTTTAAAAAGGATATTACAATGTTACTGTAAGAAAAGAACCATCAATCATGTAGTAGTACTAAATATTCCCATATACAAAACAAGAAGCTTTTTGGCTCTTTGGAAGGATACCATATAAAATTAAAGAAAAAAAAAACTCTTAAACAATGTAAACAATTCTTAAAATAGCACCAAATGCGCTCCTATTCTCATAACTTTAAGAAGGACTGCATAAAATACTTACATGCATGTGTTATTAATAGCATCATCTGGGCAGTGTCCTGAGCAATAGCACTTTAAAAAAGGCAAGGTATCTTCTGGTGCTAAGGTTACTCCATTTTCTGATTTTTTCTGGTCGGAGTCCGATTTCATCCCAGTACCATGAAGCATACTGTCTAGATTCTGCCCTGTATTCAAACATGAAATCTGTGAATAAACCATTTCTGAAAAGCTAATTCTTTCAATTTCAATTTCCAATGAGAAGTTTCTAGGTTTTCTTATTACAGTATGACAGCTACTGTGTTTAATTAAAAATGCATTTCATTCATACATTTAACATTTGTTAATAACCTATTATGCACAGCATAACCATCCCAGGTATTGTGCGACATATGGAGAGAACTATGTCACAAGTTTTGCACAGTGGAAGACAATGTGGCAAAGGTAGAATATGGTCATGACTTTAAGAAAGGTACAAAATGAGAAGCGATTTCAGGCAAGTCTGAGATTGTTTCCAATCATTAAAAAAATACACAAATATGGTTCTTAAACTTCTTGGCTCAAGACTTGGGACTAGCTTAAAAAAAAATAAGTCCTTTATTTGTGCCTCTACGTGGAAGTGCAATTACTAAGCATCTCGCTTTGGATTTTAATTGCTTAAGTAAGGGAATTGTGAGAGCAAGGGGACTAATCATATTATCTGGTGCCTTTCATCTCAAGGCCATTGGTTCAAATCCAGCCTATGCTGCCAGAAACTGAAGGTTACTGTAGGGCAGTAGTGAGCTTATGAAAACAGAACTGTGTTCTTGCATTAGAGTCAAGTAGCCTCAAATGACAGATACTGTCATATTTGGTACTGAATCTTTCAGGCTGAAAGCAGAACAGAACTAAAACGTTTTAGTAATTCCTCCCTCTCTCCGAATCAGCTGAAATTGGCTAGCCTATTCCTTGTATGGTTGACCTCCAGGGAATAATATATAGAGCCAAACAGGTATAAAATATTAAGAGAATTGTGTATAAACAACATTTCATTATAAATGTTAAATAAGTGGTTCAAGCATAATGTGGACTTGACTTCAGGTCTCCTACTCCTCTGCCATCTTGCTCCTCCAATGTGGACTTGACTTTAAATTTAGCCATACTGGTAAGATGAACTATTGAAAAGAAAAAGTAACACACAAACACACAGTGATAACAGGAAAAGAATGTGCTGCTAATTTTTTTTTAGTGACTCCATGAATTTCAATAATTTTAATAATCTTCATTTAACCCTTTAAATTGAAAACAAAGCTTAAAGACCTCATTTACGTCAGGAATGTCAACTGTAAAAAGTAACAAAAGGGCAGGATGGCCAAGAACAGAAGAAATCCACTAGGCTAAAAACGAGGCGACCTGGATTGTGGTCTACTATGGTCCTATGATGGTCCCACCACAGTTTAGTTAGCTGGATGATCATGGACAAGCCCTGTCACTTCTTCAGACCCATTTACTCAGTAAGACAGCAGGACCAGAGGCCACCTGAAGTCTCTTCACCAGCTTTAAAATCCACTATGATAACAGAAGGAAGCATTAATTTAAGTATGGAGAGCAAATGGTAAATAATATACTATATGCAATTAATTTTTCAAATATCTAGTGATACACAGAAAAAGCAGTATAGTGTGGTAGAAATGACATGGAAATAACAATGTGAAGGTAATGGTTCAACTCCCAAATATATCCATAGATGTTACTCTCTGAACCTCTTCTATCTCTAAAAAATGGTGATAATAATTCCTGCCCAATTCAACTCAAGGTTATATATAGATGAAATGAATGTATAATAAAGGGCTTAATTACATATAAAATAGGGTACAAATGAGGAAATTATTTAATAACAAAGATCATACTAAAAGATCACTAATACCTAGAATATTCAAAGTTATATCCTGGTTAATACACATAATTTCCCAAAACACTATTTGAATTTAGAAAATTAAAAATCCTAATTATAATAACTTGCATCTGGGGTTTATATTACCTCAAATATTTATTTAACAAAACATTAATTAGAGGCCAGCTATGTGCAGGCAAGTTACCGATTGCTGGAAACTGATCTGGTCCTTGAGAAATGGGGAAGGACAATAAGCACATAAATAAACACACTGTGAAAAGTGATATAATACAAAGGTAAACAAAGGAAGGAGCCTGTAACACAAAGTCGGCCTAGGTGTCAAAAGCAATGAAAACTAAGCTGTGTCTTAAAGTTATAAGATCTCCCTAAATAGAGGCATGGATGCAGAGAAAAATAACTAAGCAACAGCCTCTCTGCAGTATCTCCCTAGGTGACAGCACCCATCCTACAGTCTAAACAAAACTCCTTGTTGATGGCTCCTAGATTTACCCCTCCAGCCTTGAGCTGCTTAAGTAATCTCAAAATTAACTTGTCCAAAACGGAACTCATTAACGTATCTCCTCAAACCCATCTCCCCAAGTCTTTTGGCTCAATCTCCAAAATAGATCTCAAGTTTTTCCACTTTTTTCCAACTCCACTGCTATTACCTGGCCCCATCATGCTGTGCCACTTCTGAGATAGGAATCTCCACACTCACCTCCCTACTTCTGTTCTTGGGCCCTCCCATCCATTTCCCACATAGGAGCCAGAGTTATCTTATAAACATAAATCTGATCCTGTCACTCCCTGCTTAAAACCAATTAATGGCTCCATATGCACTCAGAATAAACTCCAACCCCCTTCACCATGCCCACCGCCAGCAGGATTTGGACCCTGTGTACCTCTCCAATATCAACTCACACCACCTACCCTCCACCATGCTCAGGCATGCTAGCCTTCTGTCAGTTCCTACAATATGCCAATCTCTTTCCACTCACTAGTCCTGTGTTTACAAAGCATAAGATTATGAGGTCTGGGGTGGGCCGAAGCTATAGGTTGTATTTCAAACAAAGACATGCAAAAAAATACTTAAAGTTTACATGCGCAAGTGTAACAACTGAGAAAAAACCACAAATATATATAAATAGAGATGAATAGCTAAAAGATACAAGTGACTATATATAGACACATTTATACCACCTTCCTTTGTCATTAATGGCAATTTTTGGCATCAATGATTTTACAATTTTTTTCCTGACTAAATAATTTTTCTTACTTTCCCAGTCATCTATGGTCTTCCTTTGTACAAAGCAGAGAAAGTCCTCCCCCTTCCTTAAGACAGAATGTCTAGAATAGGAATCAGAAGGCAAAAGGTAGGCGAGCTGGAGAGACCAATGAGACATCAATGCTTTGCAGGTACGAAGTGATCAGTAACAATTCTCCTTAATCTATGTGCTACGGAGCAGTGACTACTGAAGGTGGCTTCCAAGTTGTCCTTCTGAATAGGAGTTTATATAGTACTTATCCAATTTCTTCTTCATCATTGAATACTGGGTGCGTTGGGCACCAACAATTTCTCTCTTAGGTACCCACTGCTAGACCATGAACAGGCCCATATGAACCTGGTGGACAAGGTTACATACTACCCAAAAGTCCTGGATGAGTGGCCAAGTGCATTAAGTGGATAAACCTCTGGATTATATATACATATATACCTTTGAGGAGGAATTGAGTATTTCCACTGACACGAGCACTTTTAGCATATGCAAGCGAGAAGGGTATGTATGAGGTTAGGTAGACAGGTGTGGTACCCTGCAACAGATGCTGTTAGGTGTTCTTCTTCCCTTTACCTTGCTAGCCACACACACACACACAAACACACACACCCCCTTTTTTAAGTATTTGCCCCCTCCTCCATGTGACTGGGGGAAGCACAGCGCTACCCTCAGTAGAGACAACTGTTTTGTCTAATCCAACAATTTTAGTTCCAGTCCCCTTGCCACTGCTTACACAAGAGCATAAATTAATTCTGGCCAATAAAGTTAGAAGGAAGTCCGCTGGAAAAGGAAGGGGAAGGAAGAGGAAAGGTGCCTGGGGAAAGATTTCTTTACCAATTAAAAAGAGACAAAAGAGACATCGATTCCCTCTTCTACCGAATGCTGCCAACTCAAATTTGCCATATCTACATGAGATCTCTGGCCCCACAGCAGCCACACTGTGGCCATGGAGTGAGTTAACCTAGGGCTAACTTAATAGGTGGAGGAGAACACAGTTGAAAAAGAGAAAGAACTTGATGAGAGCCAAGGAATTAACTTACTGAAGTCCCCCTACCGTCAGACTTCTTGTTTTGTAATACAACATTTTCCTTATTGTTTAAGCTATTTTGAATTGGTTTTTTTGTTGTTGTTACTTAAGAGATGAAAACACCTTAACTGACAGAAGAGAAAGAATCTGTTCCAGACTCTTTAAGTTGTCCCAAGGATATCTATTTTCCCTATCTTCCTAACTGACCAAACTGATTTTGTCCGGTGGGACATGTGTCCAGCCATAAGCAATGGACTTAGATTAATCTAAGCTGACTGTGACAACCCCATCTCCCAGTTTTCCAGTAGCCCTAGCAACTGTCTCAGTTTATCCAACAAAACACAATAAAATGTGCCAGCAGAAGGCTGGTTTCTGGGGACATTTTGCTTTCCTGAAATAACATCCAGTTGAAGTCAAGGCTGACCCTTTCCCCATTTTTCCTTCCTCCAATGCAGATAACAGCAGCCGTTTTGTAACCATTAGGGAAAAGCCAAGAAAACTACAGATGTCAACCTTGACACCACTCAACTACTGAATGAGCACCAGCAAATATCTACCATCTACATCAAAAAATAAATCTATTTGTTTAAGTCACTGTTTGTTGGGTAATCAGTTTCTTAAAGCTAAAATCCATTTCTAAAACTTGTGACCAAGCCAAAAACAAGGACTAAATAGCAATTAGATGTTAATATCAGCTGACTCATTCTTTGTTCCAACTTGAATAACTTTATCTCAATGTAAAGGACTTAAATCTTTATCAAAACATCTAATGCTCCAAAAATTCCTGTTTACATCTAGGATACATGTTATTGTTTCTACTTTACAACTAGGAAACCAATAATATGGAGAAATTTACTTTCCCAAGACACAAATGAAGCTAAAGTTGAAGCTAAAGTCAAGTTATTTCCACTAACACCACTTCCAATCCTTAGTAATCTCTAAGAAATAACATTTTCTTCTACATTGGTTTTAGTTCTTTTCTTTAAGACTAAATATTTTTATTTAAAGCAACTCTCAAACTAATCTTTTTGAAAGGAAATGTAACACATTTGGCTATTCATCACAGAAATGTAATTCTTACCAAGATTTTTCACTTACACCTGATAACTAATTACCAGTTTATTTCATCTAATAAAAGTTTATTACAGAATAATGTGAATCAGAGTGGGGAAAGAATTTTGAATTACATTGCTTCTGTGTGATCTATATAGATTTTTTAAAAAATTTAACATCAAATACTAATTATCTGGGAGTGAGGTAACAAATATGCTACTATTAATTTAACTTATCTTCAAAACAGCTTTGGCTGATGCTGATCAACAAGACATATAACAAGAGCTGTTAAAATAAAAGTGTTTTATTAAATAATTTGGTATTTCACCAAAAAAAAAGTGGCTTTTGGAAGAGGGCTCTCTGTATTCTGAGCAAGAAAATACTAAAGGTATCAATTACACCTAAGACAAAATGTGAAGCTACAGATTTTATTTTTATCTTTCAAATGAAAACAGCAGGGGCTCCTGGGATGGCTCAATAGGTTAGGTGTCTGACTCTTGGTTTCGGCTCAGGTCATGATCTCGGGGTCATGGGGCTGAGCCCCACATTGGGCTCCATGTTCAGCAGGGAGTCTGCTTGGGATTCTCTCTCTCTCTCTCAAATAAATACATTTAAAAAAAAATGAAACTGTCAAAAAATTTGTGCTGTTAATTGTATTTCTTGCTAGTAGATATTAATAATCTTTATCACTCTGAACAAAACTTTATGAAAGAACAATCTGTGATGACACAAACTTAAGAGAATGAAGATACCCAATAACTTTAATCTAAAATCCTTTTGCAAGAGTACTCTCTCTTCAGTTTGAAATAATGTCCTAATTAAACCATCTGGGAAAAATCCCATGTGCAAATATAGCCCATCTGATCCTCAGAGTCATCACAATAATTTCCTGTTTGGGAATTCCAAGCTACGAACACAAAATTACAATGCTGTTCATAAATAAAACTTTTGAGTATTCTATGAAGAAATTTTAGTATTTAGCACATACAAATACAACTACCTTTCTGAAGTTTTTTAATGATGACAAAATGATTTTTTAAATTATTTACATTTATTCTGTATTGTATTTTAAAGGAGAAAGGAATTTTAAAACTATGTCTTGAGTACCTACTACCCTGTGTCTTAGTCTTACTAGGACAGATACTTTATCTCATTTAATCCTCACAAAACTTAATGTTGCATATCATAATGCCTATGTTATGGATAAGAGAACAGATTCAGAGAGGCTGAAATTTCACAAATATTTGAAAATGTTTCTATCACAATCACGTTCAAAATTACCTGGCATGTATTCGTTCTTTGCCTTTTTACTTAAAAGTTATGCTGGCATATTGAGCCTAAATGTTCAAAAAGGCACATGAGTAGAAGAAGCAGTTTCAAGAATGGGTATTTTAAATATAGAAATAAAATACTGAAAAAGATTACTTAAATGAACACTGATTTACCTTGAACATAAGAAATAATGAACAGATAGGCTCCCAATAATTTGATGTAAATATACAGCTGAGTCATTGTTCAATTTTAATGTTTCCTGTACACTGTCACCTCTAATAACTGGTCTTGTTATGTCACTAATTTAAATGACTTTAATTCAAAGAGATTTTCTTGCAAAAGGTCTCAATCACTTGACAATGACTCCAACTTCCACTGCTTTCTCTTGATTCCTGAAAGATAAAAATATAAAAAAGGTAATGAATATAATTGAATTCTGGAAAAGTTTTCAAAACTAAGAGAGAAAAACAAATGCTCAAACATTCCTTTAAATAATGAAATACATTTTGGGGTGGGGAGAGGGAGAGAGAATGGGGGGAAGGGGAGAGGGAGAGATAATTTTAAGCAGGCTCCCTGCCCAGCATGGAGCCCAGCGTGGGGCTCAATCTCACAACCCTGGGATCATGACCTGAGCTGAAATCAAGAGTTGGAAGCTTAACCAACTGAGCCACCCAGAAATGAAATACATTTTTAAAGATTAAAGCTATCTTTATTTACAATAACAAAAAGGCACTGTAATTCAAAAGCTTAAATAATTCAGTAAATAGATTGTCACCTCTCCTGATCTCAGATTAAGCATATGTAAAACAAGTACACTAAATAATCCCAATAGTCTTTTCTGGCTGCTCTAATTATTTTATTAGTAACAATTTCTAAATATACGAAGAATAAAGCAGGAAAAACTGAATTTAAAATATGAAGTTATTCATCAATCATCTTTCAAATCCTAATAGATGTGATAAAAACACCTCAAATCTCTGAAATAATTTATTCTATAGAAGAGAAAGCCTAGCTAATCACACATATTTAAATAAGCAGTGTGCTTCATCATTAAAGCAACAGAAATATATCTTAAAATTATTTTCCTAAAACATTGCAAATCTGGCTTCATTATTATAAAATTGAGCTTTTAATATGGATGATGTGAAATCTAACCTCCCCAGTTAAGATCTGGCAATTATAAAATAGTTGAAATGGGTAACAAAAAAACCCTCACTATTTCGTATATAGATGAATATAATTCTGTTTTTCTCCCATCCTATTGGTTTAGACAATTTGATTTTATTGATTTCAGCCTAAACTATTCCTGAATGAAAAAGATTTTATTTATTCATGACTTAATTACCCCTAGCATGATTTCTACCATAAACAACCTGAGCTTTCTATTTTATCAACCTAAGAATTTTTCACTTTACTTATTAGCTCTTCAAAGGCACTTACAGTATTGAGGAAATAAGGTTTATAGAGTGTCATTTATATTGTGCATTTTAATATCTGACTTCTAAAACGTCTACAATTTCTCACTTCTCTACTATAAAATTAAATTGCTTCCCATCTACAGAATGCTGAGACAGTAAGACGTAAAATCTAAAATAATTACAGAACAACATCCATAATGTGACTTAATAGCATTTCTTGGGAAAACTCCCTTCTTGAAATTACACAATTGTGATTCTAGGGATACTTGTTCCAGGTTTCAAATCCAAAAGCAGTTTGCAGTATAATTCCAACCCTGTTTTCCCGTCATATTTCTATTTGCCTACTAAGTATCTCTACTAGGATTACACACCACTCGTCTAAATTAAATGCATTAACTTTCCTTCTTAACCCTTTAGGCCTGCCTCCTTCTCCTGCATTTGCTATCACAGAGGAAGGTAGTGCCATGTCTTCAGTCACCCATGACAAAAAGCCTGGCATCATTTCGGCCTCTCCTACTAGCTCCACCCGCTCCATACGGCCACCCACTCACCAACAGCACTTTCTGAGTGCCTATAACACATCAGTGCAGGGTGCTAGGATACAGATATGAGTATGGCAGTCCCCGCTGAAAGGAGCTCCTGGTCTTAGGCGAAACTGACTGCTATGACTGGTTCCATCTTCCAGAGTCACTGTTTCCTCATCAATTTATTTAAAGCTAATATGTGGTCTAGTCTCATTAGAGGGACAGCCAAAGCATCCTGCAGAGCTAAAGCTGAGGAGACTTTAAGCACCTGCCACAGTCACAGTCCCTTTCATTGGAAGGGGATTATGTGTGATTTCTTCCCATAAACATCTGTGACTGCTATGCTGGGCACAAGTTCAAATCTTGATCTGCCTGAAATAAGTAACCTAACCTCTCTGGATGAGTTTCCTCATCTGTAAAACTGAAATTATATTATTAACTCGTAATTATTTTAAGAACTAAATGAGGTAATAGCTAATACATATTCACCTCTAATTATGTACTAACACCATTATAAATGCTTTGAATATATTAATATTAATTTATCAAATCATCACAACTACCTTGGAGATAGGTGCAATTATTATTTTAATTTTACAGATGAGGAAACTGAGGCAAGCACAGTTTAAGGAATTTACTGGTAAATGGCAGGGCTCTAATTCTAATCAAGGAGATCTGATTCCAGAGTCCATGTGTTAACTGCTACCCTAGACTGCCCTGCTGGATATTTTATGTATGTTACACAATGTAAATTATATATTATAAAGTAGGAGAGCCTGGTATAGAATAGGTGCTCAATAAAGTTTCCTCCTCTCATACATGTTTATAACATGGCACAGGAAGTAACAGGTGTGATCTACAATAACTTGTATAGAGAACAGCTATCAGCCAACAGAAGACTAAAGGTAAAATGGCTTCAATTGCCTCATTTGTAATCCAACAATGGAAAGCCTTAATCTTTAAAAGAAAAATGTTAGGTTTTAGCTGACTACCAGCTCAATATGCATCAGTGCTCATGACAACTGCTGAGACATGAAGGCAATCTTATCAAGCAGGGACGGAGGCCCACTGCTGTAATCAAAGAGGGTCACCACCTTACTTTATTCCACCTGGTCAGGCCTCTTGAACACTTTAGAGAGGAATGACAGGAATGCAAAGGATAGGGAAATGACTACACTTGAGCTTACAACTCAAAGATCGGGGCCTTTGCTCACAGCATATCAAAGGAACCAAGTGTGAATACACCTCTGTCAAGGACATGACAGACAGGATGGAAAGGAGACTAGACCATTTAAGTGATTCATCGGATTCCTTCTAATGCTCAAGTCCTGCAGGAACAGTGTTCTTGCCACTGACTATTATTTCCTAAATATTTATGAAGTACCTATTATATACATGATTCTGTACTAGACACTGAGAATAGACTGATGAGGGCAAAACGGACCCAGCCTTCATGGAGTTCATAGTCATTAAACAAGACAATTAAGATAGTCAGGCACTAAACAAGACAGTACAAAATCATATGTAATCATAACTTGTGCTAAGTGTGAGGAAAGAAAAGTGCCAGGTCCGAGAGAGGCATGGGGTAGTGACCTAATCTCATCTGGAGAGACTAAGGGAAGCCATGCTAAAAAGTGACATTTAAGATGAGATCTGAAGAATTAGAGTTAGCCAGGTAAAGAAAAGGGGGTGAGTTCTAGGCATAAGGAACAGCCTGTACAAGAATCTTGAGGCAGAAAAGAGCAATGGAAGAATGGTATTTCTGAAATGGTGAGAATAAGGGGTAGTTGATGGGATGTGAGTTTGAAGAAATAGGAAAAACAAGGACCAGATCAGAGAAGAGTGTATGAAAGATCTGGGATTTAAATTTAAGTGGCATTGGGAAGGCAATTATCTGGTTTCTATATAATGGACTGGAGGGGACAAAAGCAGAAGTAAAGAGACCAGTTGAGGACAGTATAGTAGTTTAGGAGAGGGACAATGGTGGTTAAGATTTGGGTGGTGGTGGTACAGTGGATGGGTTCAAGGTATATTTCATAAACAGACTCAACAGGGCTTAGTATTGGATTAGATTGTGGGGTAAGGGAGAGTGAGAGTCAAAGAAGATCTCTACATTTCTGGCATGAGCAATTACTGGAATGAGGACAAGCAGATTTTGAAAGGAGTGAAGAGATCAAGGGTTCAATTTTAGACATTTGAGATAACCCAAAGGGAATGTCTAATGGGCATGAAGTTTAAAGGACACATTGGGTACTGAAGATACAAATCTATTACGTCAACAGCATAGAGTATTTGAAGCTATGGCTTTGTATGAGATGGCGTTCTAAGAATGAAAAGAGAAGAGGGCCCCAGAACACCAACATCCATTTAAAAACTGGATTAATAAAAAAGCATTAACACCATATATATTTATTTGGCACTCACTGATAAAATAAGTTTATGGTCTAGAACCTACCGTGTGCAATATTAATGTAGTGTATATTACCACAACTGGAATATAAACTAGTATTCACAAGTGATACTTTTTCACAGGTTAAAAAAAACAACAACAATCTACCAAAAGATCACTGTGCTGATCTAAAATATGTCCACAGGTGCTCTGACGGTACCTTCAATAGGTGGAGCCTACTTCTCTGCCTAGAATTCCCACTGGTTTTAATGAGTCACTTCTAACAAATAAAATGAGATGGAGACAACAGAGTGTAACTTCAGAGACTAGATCATAAAAGGCATTTCCAATTCCACCTTGCTCTTTCTTGAAACACCCACTTTGCGGGAAGCTAGCTTCCATGTCATAAGGACACTCAAGCAGCCTTCCAGAGAGGGCCACGTGGTGAGGAGCCGAGGCTTCCTGCCAGCAGCATGTGCGTGAGCCATCTTGCACATGGATGCCGCAGCCCCAGGGAAGCTTTCAAGTGACCACAGCTTAACCGGCACAATTCATGACACCCTAAACTAGACCCGGCAGCTAAGTTCCTGGTGGATTCCAGACCCTCAGAAAATGTAGGAGATCATAAATGCTTGTTTTAAGCTGCTAGGTTTTGGGGTAATTTGTGGGGCAGCAACAGAAAATATACACTGCTATATAATATAGTCATTATGAGAAATTTGCTATAATAATAAAAAGCCTAATCAGTGTAAATTATTGCACAGCCAACCAAAAAACAAGAGTCTGGAAAGCATAGTCAAATCAGAGCATAACAAGAGAAGTATGAGATAGTCACAATGCCCAAAGAACTGGTATATATAAGTAACATCTTTCTTTCAAAGGAGTAACCAAAAGTATGCGCTTTCTTTTAAAATTATCTCAACAAGTAAGGTTCATTTTTGTGGGGAGAAAACCATCCTTCGTTCTACTCTCTATACTGTTAAATACGTGCCCTTTTTAACTATGAGTTCCAGAATGATGACATCAATTTTATGTTCTAGGTAGAGGCACTTTTCATATAA